AATCCTCCCTTGTCTACTAAGTCTTCTCATAAGTAAGCTAAGGAAAAAAAATCTCTCCCTCCTCTTGACATTTTATCTCCATGACAGCAGTAGGTTTGTACCTTTCTTACCACATTTCCATGTTATATTTGAAATGCCCTGGGAAGTGGGGAGACACCCAATTTTTAATTTTTTGATGGCTGGCCAGTATGGGTGTCCAAACCTGACCTTGGTGTTATCAACACCATGCTCTAACCAACTGAGCTAACCGGCCAGCCACATCTAATTAATTTAGTTGAGCGAATAAACAAGCTTGAAGACAGAGAGGGATAAGGAGAGGATTCCAGGCAGGGGATAGGCCTAGGATAGCGTCAAGTTCTCCTGTAGGACACAGTGAGATGGAGTCACGTGGGGGCTAATGTGGACAACACTGGAGAGTGGAGCTAAGTTACAAAGCTTCTTTAACAAAGCTAGAGCCACTGCTCACAGCCATAAGGACATGTTGTGTGTTTAGTTATGCGTGCTTCATCCATTTAACAAATATTTGAGCACTTACAATGTGCCAGGCATCATTTTAAGTAATAAATGAGATATAAAAGACCCTCGCTCTCATGGAACTTGCATTCCATGAGCAAAGACAGTAAAAAAAGATTTCACGTAATGAGAGATGTTCTGAAGTCAACAAAACAGAGTCTTGTCATAGAGTATCTGGGGGAACTATCTTAGATGGGTGGTCAGGAACGACCTCTCTGAAGAAATGACATCTGGACTGAGTTAGGAATAAGGAGAAGGAACTAGCTGGGTGGCAATCAGGGGAATAGTTTCCAGGCAGAAGGAGCAGGAAGCAAATGCCAAGGTCCTATGACACACAAATCATGGTACGTTCAAGGAACAGAAAGGCCACACCGTGGTGAGCAAAGGAAAGACAGGGAGGCAAGAGAAGTGTTTTAAGGTTGTAGTCTCTATGCTTCTGGGAGTTGAAGAAGTGTTGTGTAAAAAGGCAGGAAGATGGCAATGCGGTTTGCCCCATTACTAAGCAGGTGGGCACCTGGTCTTCTGGACATCATACTCACCTCCATTCTTTCTCAACACGAGTGAGGTCAAAGTTTAACCAGGTCAAGTCAGCCTAGCACAGGGTTCCAGCCCGACTGCTCCTCCCTGGGCAGCCACTCATCTGACACGTGTGCACTGTGGGTAATGAGGGAGACTGAGTGGAGCAACTATAATCCATCTCACCCACTCAAGAATTCACCCTCTTAACAGACACTGGGGAGCACTGAGCACCTTCACAGAGGCTCCCATTTAGTCTCAGGGATTCCAATGAGGGTAGAGATTCTCCCCATTTCACAGATCCAAAGGCTGAGTAACTTGTTCGAGATCAAACAGCAGAAGTGGCCAAGTAAAACTGAAACCTGTTCTTTTCTCTTAAATTTAGAATTTGTGCACTTTAAAAATTATGAATATATTTTGGTCATGAATATTTCTGACATATAAAAAGTTATAGAGAATAATATATCAAAACTGCGTAATCCATACATAGCCCAAGAAATGCAATAAAATTATGAATATATTTTGGTCATGAATATTTCTGACATACAAAAAGTTATAGAGAATAATATATCAAAACTGCGTAATCCATACATAGCCCAAGAAATGCAACTTGAAGCCCCCTGTGTACCCTCCCCATTCTACTAAACCATGTGGCCTCCAATTCCTTCCACTAGGGAAATGCCACAAAGTGGCATCACTATCCATTCCACAGTGCAAGCCAAAAATCTAGTAGGCACCAGTGACATCTCCTTCCAATCACCAAGTTCAATTTTTACTATTTCTGTTTCCACCATTATTAACCACTCTTCTCTTTTCACAAGTATCATCTCTTACCTGGATTATTGCAATGACCTCATAACTAGTCTCCCCGCATCTCCTCTTCCTCCTTTCCATCTAATCTCCACGCTGCAACTACCATCCTTAGAACCTTTTGTGTCCCTTTGCTCTTACGATTAGACAAAATTGCTTGCATGGCATGCAAGGTCATGTATGGTCATGCCCCTACTCAACATTCTAGCTCAATCTCAATCCCTGGTGTTGTGTTTTGAGGACACTGGCCTTCTTGCAGTTCCTTGTAATCCCCAGGTTGCTTCCCACCACAGATCCTTTGCACATGCTATTCCTTCCTCCTTCACCTAAATAACTTTTCCCTTTCTCAGGTAAGCTTCCCTGAGCTCCCTGAGTGGGTCATTCCTTGGCATTGTCCCTTTTTTGGGGGGGCAGCTGGCCCATATCAGGATCTGAACACTTGATCTTGGTGTTAACAGCAGCATGTGTCACCTTTACAACTTTACATCTGTTTATGAGATTAACTAATTAAAGAATTTCTTCTCTAATAGGCCAAGGACCAAGAACCACTTGCTTAGCACAAACTTCAGTCGGCCCTCTGTATTCAAGGGTTCTGCATCCACGAATTCAATCAACTGTGAATGGAAAATATTTTTAAAAATGAAATAAAAAAATAAAAAATATCAATACAACAATAAAATAGATTTAAAAACAACACAGTATAACAACTATTTACACACATAGCATCTACCTTGTATTAGGTATTATGGGTAATCTAGAGGTGATTTAAAGTATAAGGAGGATATGTGTAGGTTATATGCAAATATTATGCCATTTTTTTTTCTTTCTGCCATTGTCCTAGAGTCTAGTACTATGTTATTTTATATCAGGGACTTGAGCATCTGTGGATTTTGGTATCTGTGGGGCCTGGAACCAATCCCCAGCAGATACCAAGGGACTGCTGAATAAACTATTAGACTATATGCATATATAACATGCTAGGCAGTGTTCCCAGCACTCACTTAGGACCTCCCAAAAGCCCTGTGAGGTAGGTACAATTATTAGTCCCATTTTACGTATGAGGAAAGAAAGTCACACAAGCTAAGAAGTGGGAGCTGGGATATGAGCTTACGCAGGCAGTTTCTGGAGTCTGTGCTCAACTCAAGCTCTGGTGCCTCACCAGCATCTGATGAACGCAGTCTAGTGTGAGTACTTTTGATAGTGAGTAAACAGCACCATCAGTAACCTTAGTTCAACTAAAAAATGTCATCTTGGTTTTGGTAAGGATCTTATGTTTGACTGGAACTTTGCTGTAAAGCTTTTATCTTCCCAGCACTTTATCTCAGCTACTTAAAAACCCATTTGCCCTCCCTGGTGTCATCGTGACTCATGTTGAGGCAGAGGAGGTGGCCCAGCAAACTGGTGGAGAGGAGAAAGTTGGCTTACAGTGAGTGAAACAAATTGTGGATCATTTGCAGTGGGAGTAATTCACATAAGGACAATTGAAGGATTTTCCTGGATGTCATCTCACTTAACCTTCATTGATTTCTAACAAAGTTACACACACAGGGCAGTTCTTCCACAGTTAACAGATGAAGCAAAAGACAAGGGATAGGAGACTGCTAAGCCGTCAACTAGTCATAGTATGGTGTGAGGAATGGTACCCCTACACTTCTAACTTCAGAACTATAGCAGAAAGACCGCTTCCTCCTCTTAAAAATCAAAGATAACTGGCCAAACTTTCTTAATTCTTCAGTGGAACCCCTCGGCAAGGACAGACTTCCTCTTGCGTTTTCCCAGTGTGGCTACTGTAGGGCAATTATTTCCTAAGCTCAATAAACCAGCTACATCCAATCAACCCTAGATCAATAAGGTGAAAATGAAAACGCTTTAATGAATTTCTTCCAGGTCTCAGGACTAAAAACGGCCAAGAACCACGATCCTTTATGTCTGTAAACACATTCGAGGTTGCGCCTTTATATGAGCACCCTTGGAGGGCGAAACATTTCTACTCTATCAAGTACCTGGTAGCTTTGGAAGCGGGTCTAAGAGGAATCCCTTAGCCCACCCTTAAATAAGCTAGGCCTTATAACAGCACAGGTCTCAAACCCTATAAATAGGCCTGCGGGGAGTCCCTGGAGGGGAAGCTGCGTGTAGGGCCAAGGGTAGTCAGGAGCGCTTGAGCCCAGTCCTGACCCAGCCACTATCCGGCTGTGTGACCTGAGATAAGTTCCATACCCTCTCCAGGCTTCGGTTTCCACAGCTGCACACTGAAAGTTGAACCACATGGTCTTCAAGGTTCTACCCGGCCGAGAGCCTAGTACCGAGTAGACTCAGCCATTAAAGCAGCTTCCCGTGGGCGCGGTGCAGGACTTTAACGGTCCCCCCTCCCCCGATCAGGCCCGCGAAACCCTCACCCTACACGCCCCTCGGAGGGATGGCGCTTTCCCAACCGCAGGCCGAGCGGCCAAACACAGCTCCGCCCTTTTCCGGGGGCATCCCATGGTGCCCTGCGCTGGGCTGCAAAAGCGGCGGGGCGCCTCCCGCCTTTCTGCGCCCCGACCCCGAACTCTTCTCCCCAGTTCTCCTGGGCGCCCTATCCTATCAAAGTCTAGGAGCCCAGCCAATCACGCAGGTCCTAAACCTTGCCTTCAGTCTGCCCTCCTCCCAGCGCTCAGCCGGTCTGAGCTCAAGGCCTTTACCGGCCCAGCCCAATCAGCAGCCGGCTCTCGCCTGCCCCACCCCAACCTTCCTTCCCTCGGCCAATCCGCGCGCCCCATCCCGCTGCCCGCCCAGCCAACCCGGGCCTTGAAACCAACGGGCGAATGGGCACAGGGCGGCCCTTCAATGCTGACCGCCTGGCCAATTGGGGGTTCCGCGTGGCTACGGCGGCAGCCAATCACCGTGGA